TCCATCCCTCCATCCATCCATCATCCATCCCTCATCCATCCATCCATCATCCATCCATCCCCCATCCATCCATCCATCCCTCCATCCATCCATCATCCATCCCTCATCCATCCATCCATCATCCATCCATCCCCCATCCATCCATCCATCCCTCCATCCATCCATCATCCATCCCTCATCCATCCATCCATCATCCATCCATCCCCCATCCATCCATCCATCCCTCCATCCATCCATCATCCATCCCTCATCCATCCATCCATCATCCATCCATCCCTCATCCATCCATCATCCACCGATGCATCATCCATCCATCCATCCATCCATCCCCATCCCTCCCTGCTGAGGGCAGGCTCAGCACTCCCAGATGTGCCCCTCCACCTTTGTCTTCCAGGGAGTAAAAAAGGGGAGGGAAATGAATTTAAGAGGCAGAAGGAGGGGAAAGGCAGCCCCGATGGGCCGGGCTCCCCGGGCCAGCCCAGCCCAGCCCCGGGCCAGGCTCCCCAGGGACTGGGGCAGGGAAGCTGCAGCTGCGGGGCCGGAGCCCCGGTGCGGCCGGAGCTGCCCGCTCAGCCCGGGAGGGGAGAATGCCCGGAATGTGGAATCACATGGATGCGGAGCTGCTCCAGCTGCCAGCGAGCAGAGGGTGAATCCTTGGAGCCGAGTGTGGGGTTTTGGGCGAGGTGTGTTGGGAGTGGGATCGTGGTGGGCGGCAGGACCAGGCAGGGGCTGCCATCCCTGCCCTGGGGCCAGATCCGGAGCAGGAATGCTGGAGTCCCACTGCCATCACCTTGTGACACTGGGCATTGTCACAGCCCTGCAGGCGTGTGCCTGCTGCCCCTCTCTGCCTGTCCTGGCACTGGGCACCGCTGGAGCCTGGCACGGGTAGGACCAGGCCTGGAATTCTGGCACCAGACACCACCGGATTTCGGCATCCTGGCACTGGGTGGCACAGGATTCTGGCATCACAGAGCATCCCACTGCAACAGGTCACAGCATCCTGGAGAAATGGAGCTGAAGCTGCTCAGCACCAGCAGCGGGATGGGAGCAGAGCCAGACCCGGCGTCCCGGAGGCAAAATTCCCTCCAGGAGCCACCACCTTTCCTTCTGAAAACGCCACATCCCCCCCTGTGCCCCGGCACTCCTCCCGGGCAGGCTGTGCTCCCCAGCACCGTGACTCGGATGCTGTAAATGAGCCTGAGGGTCTTTCACTGACATCTCTGAGAGCTGTTTCTTGCTCCATCTCCTGGCAGGAGCAAGCAGAGTCACCGCTGCCCTCAGCTCCTGGGCTGCATCCCTTCGGAGGGGTGCTAAGAACAGGCTCATCTCGATTCTTGCCGTTTTTCCATGAAGAAAAAGTCCCCCTCAGCAGAATTCCTGCCTCCTCCCCTGTCAGGGCTGTTTTCCCCCTTCAGAGCCCAAACTCAGCAGAGCTCTCCGGGCTTTTCCCGTTGCCCCTTCCCTCCCTGCCCGCAGCTGTGCCCGCTGTTTCCCCGTTACGGGCGGGATTCGCTCCCGGGTGCGGGAGGAGGCTCCTGACCCTCCCCCGGGGCTCTCTCCGCTGCCCTTCCCGGGTTTCCAGCGGGCACTGGGAGCTGGCAGCCGGCGGCCGGGATAACCTTGTGGCTCGGAACATTGCAGCCATCCCTCTTCTCCCATCAAGCGTTCATTTAGGAAACATTTCACTAAATACCCGCCTGACAGCACGGCCCCGGGAGATTGATGCCTCCAGCGCCTCTGAGGGCTCGGTGCCAGTGACTTTAAAATGTCACAACGACACCCCCGGGGCGCTCGCGTCCCCTCCCGGTGCCCGGGGCAGTGATGGGAGTGTCCGGAGGGCGCTGCGGTGCCAATCCCATCCCAGCCCCCTCAGGCTGCCAGGGGGTGCCTGGGGCTGTCCGGAGGGATTTGAGAGCGCCCAGCACAGGTTTGTACCATCCCCAGCCATAAAGTTCCTTCATCCCTGACAGCTTTGGGACATCCCCATCCCATCTCCAATTCCATCCCCATCCTACCTCCATCCACATCCCATCCCTCCCCACTCCTGTGAGGGATCCCTATCCCATCCCCATCCCATTTCCAACCCTGTCCCCATCCTCATCTCACCTCTATCCCTGTCCCTATGTCATCCCCATTCCCATCGTCATCTTATGCCCATCCTCATCTCCACTTCACTCCATTCCATCCCCATCCCCACCCTCATCCTCCTCCATTGTCATCTTCACCTTAATCCCACCCCCTTCCCTATCCCATCCCTTCCCATCCCATCCAGGAAGGAGCCCAGCAGTCTCGGCTGGGCACGGCAGAGCCAGAAGGGCCCCTCAGCTGCCACTGGAGGGATAAAGAAGGAGCAGATTAATTAAAGCCCAATCAGTGCCATCCCTGAGCCAGAGCCACTTCAGTCCTTTTCCTTTCCATTCCCTCAAACTCCTGAAGAAGAAAGGACATGATGTTGGGATGTGAATCCAGAGTGCTCTGAAGCTGCAAATAAACCACACAACACCAGGCCTGGATCGAGCTTCTCCAGCCTCATTAGTGGGATCAGCTAATTAGGAAAACAGCTGGCAGCGTTGGGAAAGTGCTGCTGTCTCCAGAGGGACAAAGGGACAGAGGGGAGAGGTGGCACTGACCTGCTGCCAGGGCTGGCCCGAGCCCCGGCTGAGATAAGGGGGAATGAGGGAGAGGAACATTCCCAACATCCCAGCGGCTGAAATCCCTGGCTCGCCGCTGCCTCCAGCCCACCGTCCCAGGACTGAGCTCTGAGGAAACCGCAGAGCTGCTCCGCACAGGATCAGCGGGGGAACCCAGCGCAGGGAGCGGGGCAGGGCAGAGGGAGCCAGCACGGCTCGTCCCAGCCTCCATCCCACGAGGAGCAGAGCAGTGCGGCTGGGCTGGGCTCCGGGAACGCTGGGGAGCGCTCCAGCGGGGATCCCTGATGAGCAAGAATCCAGTCAGCCCTCCAAACGCAATTAAGGCACTTAATTCCTCCCCCACTGCCCACCCCCATCCGCGGGGAGCGGGGCCGGGGGCTCCGGGGCTCCATCCCCGGGGAAGGCGGCTCCGCCCGTCCCTGCGCCGGGAGCTCCGCTGGGGATTGCGGGGAAAAGCCCAGAAATTGGCCCTGCTACTCCTGCTGGGATTTGGGTGGTGACAAATTAATGAGCTTCCACCCCAGAGCCTCCGGAGAATTAATTGGGAGGGAGCTTCGTTAACATCCAGGAGCAAATTGATCTGTTAAAAAAATAACGAAGGGAGGAGATTTTCAATCAGGCTTTGCTTCTTTGGGGGTTGTTTCTCCCAAAAAGCCACTTGTTATTATCAGCACTTCCCCCTTCGAGTGCTGGGATCTCCACCGCAGTATCTGACCCTGGAGATTCCCTGTGGGGCACACACCCACCTGCCCCTGCCCCATCCCGAGCTCCAGGGGAGGAGGGAATTTCAGCAGAGTTGGGAAAATCCACCCCCAAGCCACAGCTCCCGGGAGGAACGACCCTGCCCTGGGAGCTGAGACCCCACGGCACCGGGAATTGCTCATCCCTGACATCCCCTCTCCGGAGCGCGGCCGTGCTGGTTTTCTGCTGCCGGAGAGGGAAATTTCTCCCAGCTGAAAAATAGCTGAAAGGGGACCCCAGCTGGCTGGAGCCAAGGGCGCTGCAGCCGCGGGCTCCGGGAGCCGCGGGGCCGGGATCGAGCTCGGGCTGGGGATGGAGCGGGCAGCACACGGGAGGCCCGAGCAGCCCCAAAATTCCAGCGGGGAATTGGATGAGGCTGAGCACGTGTCCGCGGCCACTGCAGGAGGCGAGGGGGGGCTCGCTGAAGCCGTTGTTGGAGCAGCAGGAATTCTCCTCCAAGATTTTTAGGGTTCTTGTGACAGTGCCAAGATGAGAGGCACATGTGGAACCTGTCCAGGCGTGCCTCAGTTTCCCCGCGGCTCTGACGCATCCTTGGTGGCCGGCGGGAACCCGGGAGGTGCCAACTGTTCCGCTCTCCTCTCTCCCACCCTGTTCCAGCTCTGGGAATCGCGTCCCTCCGGCCCCCAGGCCCTTCCCTCCCACCTCGGCACCTCCAAATGTGCGGAGCAGGAGCCTCGGCAGCCTCCCTGTGGCACTGTCCCCACCCCCAGAGATGGCACCGCGGCACAGGGACACTGTAAGCCCCCATGTCCCCGGGCCGGGGTCTGCTGGGACAGCCCAGCCCAGGGAAGGGCGACAGCGGGACTGGGGAGGGAAGGTGTGCCTGAGCACAGGGATGTCACAGGGGTGTCACAGGGGTGTCACAGGGACACGGATGCCGTGTGGACATGGCACGGTGGGGACCTGCCCTGGCCCAGGAGCCCAGCTGTGATTAATCAATGTCCAAGTGAGAAATAAGGTGAAAAATGTGACCAAGGCTGGGGGCAAGCAGGAGACGGCTGGAAAAGGAGACAGGGATGGAGGGCTTTGCTCCTGGCCCTGCTTCCTGCCTCTTCCACGGCTCGTTTTTTCCCTGCTGAGGGAGCAGGAGGTCTGGCCGTGGGGTCCCTGTCACCCACAGGACCCCGGGGACCTCGGGGCGATGGCCGGCCCAGGGTGGCACGTGCAGGGGCTTTGGGGTGGTGGCAGCCTGGGGTGCCAGGTGTGGGGACACGGGGGTGACAACTGCCCAGGCAGGGACCTGGGGGTGACCACTGTCTGGGTTTGGGGTGCCACATGCAGGTGATGGCCTCTTGGGATGGTGACAGTCCCGGATGCCTGCAGGGACCTGGGACGGTGACTGCCCCACCAGCAGGGTGCCCTGGGCAGACCTGGAGGTGGTGGCAGCCGGGGGTGCTGTGTGCAGGGACCCCGGGGTGACACCTGCCGCGACGGGGGTGCCCCAGGGACCCCCAGCCCTGCCTGCCGACCCCCAGCTCCCCCGAGCACCCCCCGCGGTACCGGCATCTCCCACTCCCCGTCCCTGCGGCCCGGGACGCTCCCCCCGCACTGCCGCACTGCCCCCCCCGGGGGAGGGGGGCGGCGGGAGCGCGGCGGGGGCTGAACCGCGGCGGCAGCGAGCCCCGGCCTGCCCGGGACACTTGGCGGGGAGGAAGAGCGGGAGGAGGAGGAGGGAGGAGGAAGACGAAGAGGCCGCCTTCAGCCTCGGCCCCGCCATGCCGGGCCCCACCGGGGAGCGTGGCCCGGTGGCAGCGGCTCCCCGGGGGCTGTGAGCGGCCCGGGGCCGGCGGAAGGGGGGCCCCGGCAGGAGGTGGGGGGGCTCCGGGCGGAGGGGGAGCCCCGAGCGGCATGGCCAGCCCCGTCCCCCCCGCCGCCGCCGCTTCCACCGGGATTTAACCGGGGCTTGGATGCTTTCACCTCCCGTTTCCACTTCGGGAGGGCATGTGCGCGGGGGAAGCGGGCCGCCCCCAGCGGAGCCCCCCCGCGCCCTGAGCGCACGGTGAGGGGCTCGGCCGCCAGCCCCGTCCCGCCGCCGGCCCCGGAGGACGGGGAGCGCCCGCCCCGGCCCCCCCTGGCCGGTGGGTACCGGGCGGGGGGCGGCGGGCACCGGCAACTTGTGTTTAGCGTCCCGCGGCACCGACTGGGGGGAGCCCCCCCTCTACCGGACGAGATTTGGGTTTAAACTTTGGGTTTTGGGGAGCCCCGAAGATGCCTTTCCACCCGGTGACGGCGGCGTTGATGTACCGGGGGATCTACACCGTCCCCAACATCCTCGCCGAGCAGCGCCCCGTGGAGATCCCCGAGGATGAGCTGGAGGGTGAGCGGGCTCGGGGGGCTGCGGGGGCTGCCTGGGGACGGGGGGGATGAGGGGGACATCCCATGGGGTTGTGGGGTGGGCAGGTTTGGGGACCGGGCAGTCCATCCCGCGGGATGCGGCTGCAGGGGAGTCGGGGTGCGCGTCCCCCGGCGCCGTGGGGAGCTGAGGGCGAGCGGGATGCGGATGGATGGAGGAGGAGGAGGGGAAGGAGGAAGGCTGGAGCGGGGAGGCGTGCGGGGTCCCGGGCCCCCGGTTGTGGCAATATGACACAGCAGGGACCGGCGGTGGTGGCGGGGGGCCGGTTCCCCCCGCGGCGCGGCGGGGTCACCCCCTCCCCGCTGTCATAATATGACAGTGGCTGTGGCGCGGGGACCCGAGCGGTGGCTGTCACCCGTGCCACCTCCCGGGTCACGGCAGCTCCACGCAGTCCCGGTGTCACCGGACTCCGGCCGGGAGGAGCGGCCGGCGGGGCTCTGCCCACCCGTGCCATGAGAGGGGCCGAGCTCAGCTCGCTGCCACCAGAATGGCTTTTTCCACCCCAAAAGTTTGCCGGGGCGGCGGGACGGGCAGTGGCGTGCCCGGCTTTGGGGTGTCCCTGGGGAACCCGGGGGAAAGGGGTGCAGCACCCCGGCTCCAGACCCGGCACCAGGGGGGAGACTGAGCCACGGGGTGACCCCACACGCGTCCCCACTCTGCCTGGGGAGAGCACCCTCGACCCAGCGCCAGACCTGGAGCCCTCGGCATCCCCGTGGGGAAACTGAGGCAGGGAGCCACAGGGCTGGGGGTGAGGGGAACCCCAAAATCCATTTGGGAGCCCCGAGCAGGTGCTCACACCAGTGTGCAAGGGCTCTGGGTGTGTGTGTTTGTGTGTGTGTGTGTTTGTGTGTGTGTGCAGCAATGCAGGGTGTGCGTGTGCGCTGACGTGCCTGTCACAGCCTCACTGCAGCGGCTGTGTGTGTGCACAGGCATGGCACAGGCATGGCACAGGCATGGCACAGGCATGGCACACCCCCTTCACACCGTGCTGCGGGTGTGCTCACACATCTGTGTGTTCACACTCATGTATGGTCACACTCATGTATGGTCACACATCTGTGTGCACGTGCACGGCCTCGCTGCAGGGTGTCACTGTGTGTGTGCCAGTGCCACTGTCACTGTGTGTGTGGCTGTGCCAGTGTCACTGTGTGTGTGCCAGTGCCAGTGCCAGTGTCACTGTGTGTGTGGCAGTGCCAGTGTCACTGTGTGTGTGGCTGTGGCTGTGCCAGTGCCACTGTGTGTGTGGCTGTGCCAGTCTCTGTGGTGGGCCCGTGTGTGTGTCACTGCAGCACGTGTGTGTGCCACGCACAGCCTGGCTGCAGGAGGTGTCTGTGAGTGTGCACGCGGGCAGCGTCACAGCAGGACGGGCTCGTAGGCACAGCCCTGCTGCAGAGGGTGTCAGCGTGCCTGTGCACGAGCACAGCCTGGCTGCAGCGTGCTGGGTCTGTGTGTGTGTGTGTGTGTGTGTGTGTGTGTGTGCAAACACCAGCACAGCCTGGCTGCAGCGTGCTGTGTCTGTGTGCATGCAGAAGTGCAGCTGTGCGCGGTGTTGGTGTGTCTGTGCACAAGTGCAGCATTGCTGTGACGTGGTTGTGCAGCTCCATGCGTGTGCACACGCGAGTGCAGCGCCGCTGCAAGGGGCTGTGGGTGTGCAGGCACAGGGATGTCACTGCAGGGGCTGTGTGTGCATCTGTGTGTGTGCACACAGAAATGCAGCTGTGCCAGGTGTTGGGGTGTGCACACACGGGTACAGCACCACTGCATTGGGATTGTGCACGTCTGGGTATGCACAAGTGCAGCACCGCTGCGAGGGAAATGTGTGTGCACATGCACAGAGTGCAAGGTGTTGTGTGTTTGTGCACTCGTACAGGTGCATCTGTGCGAGGTATTGGGGTGCGCACACAGGTACAGCATCACTGTGGGGTGTTGGGGTGTGCACACACAGGTACAGCACCACTGTGGGGTGTGCACACACAGGTACAGCACCACTGTGGGGTGTTGGGGTGTGCACACACAGGTACAGCATCACCGTGGGGTGTGCACACACAGGTACAGCACCACTGTGGGGTGTTGGTGTGCACACACAGGCACAGCATCACCGTGGGGTGTTGGGGTGTACTGTATCCATGCACATCCCTGCATGGGGGCTGCGAGTGCACTGTGTGTGTGTGTGTGCACACACCACATCACCCAAGGTGCCGGGGTGTGTTTGCACACTCACACGTGTCACTGCAATGTCTGTGTGTGCACACAGCTACAGTGTCACTGTGACATGTTCTGGCAGTGTCCCTGTGTGTGCACGCACAGTGTCTGTGCAAGGGGTGTGTGTGTTTGTGTTTGTGTGTGTGTGTTTGTGTGTGTGTATGCACACCCAGCACATCCCTGCAAGGTGTTGGTGTGTGACACCAGTGCAGCATCACCATAAGGAATGTGTGTGTGTGTCTCTGTGTGTGTCTGTATGTTTGTGTCTGTGTGTGTGCAGCTCCAGTGTCACTGCCAGGGGTGTCACAGTGGTGCCTGCAGTGGAGTGTGTGAGTCCTGAAGCTGTCTGTCCATGTGTGTCTGTGTGTGTGTCCGTGGGTGTGTCTGTGTCTGTCTGTGTCCGTGTGTGTGTCCATGTGTCTGTGTGTGTATGTCCATGTATGTGTCCGTGTCTGTGTCCGTGTGTCTGTCTGTGAGTCTGTGTGTGCTCACACCCCTCCGTGGTGTCCGTGCCCACTCCCCGTGTCCCTGGGCTGTTGTCCCAGTTCACCCAGTCCCCGGGGTCCCAGTGTTGTGTCCCCCCTCCCTCAGCACCCACCTGTGGCAGTGCTGGGAGCCCCACGGTGACCCCACAAGGTGCCAGACACCCACGGGCCCCCACCTTCTCCTGCCCCCTGCTTTGGGGACACCGGTGACATCCTGACACAGCTTCCCACTGGGGCTGAGCAGACTGAGGGCACAGCTGGGGCAGGGGTGCTCAGTGGGGAGCCAGGACCCCACTCTGGCCACTGTCAGGACATGTCCCTGCCTGTCCCCCAACACCCTGAGCCGTCTGGTGAGGAGCCACCTTGGAGCTCCTCGGGATGAGCATCCTTGGAGGATGAATTTTGGGGGTGCCTGGAGTGTAGTGAGGCCCCCCCAGGAGCACAGGGAGAAGCTGGAGGATCTCCCTGCCCAGACAGGGACACTGGCCATGGAGAAGGTCAGACTGACAGGCCAAAATCCCACAAAACTCCCCCAAAACACCCTGGAGACATCACTGATGTGACACCATCCAGGCAGGGATGTTCTCAAGCACTTGGGGTCAGTACTGTCACCCTATATGGGTTTTTTCCCCCAAAACAAAGTTCACAGCCCGTTTCTCCTGCTTGGATCCTCCAGCACGAATCCCCCTGGCAGCCACAAGGAGAAGGAAGAGGCACCAACATCCTGGCCTGGCTTCCCACTGTCCCCCAGCACAAATTCCCTGGTCCTTCTTTTCCATCAGCCTGGTTCCAGCTTTGCACATCAGGTGGCATCAAAAAGCCAGAAACTGCCCCAAAAAGGAGCAGAGTCCTGAGTGCACCTGGAGGTGGGGTAGAGTCAAGAGACTCAGGCTATGCCTCAGTTTCCCTGCAGCATCTCCCTGCCACCCTGCAGGGATCTTCCCCCCACATCCTTTTGAGGCAAAAACCCCAAACCCCCCACTTCCATCCTCCTCTGCACCAGACAGGGCTGAGCACTGCAGCAATTTCGCCAAGATTTGGGATTTTTTTTTTTAAGTGAAGTGTGGCATGGCTCCAGCACCCACCCCTGGACCCCAGGATGGGGGCACGGACCCACCCTAAGACCATGGGATGGGGCACAGTCCACCCGTGATCCCAGGACCCGGATGGGGCCGGTGCCAGCCCCTGTGGGTGCTCAGGAATGCCCCTGGCTGGATGCTGTGCCCCCGGGGCAGTGCCCACCAGGGGCACCCCAAGCTCAGGCACACCCAGGATGTTTTTAGGGCAGAATGCCGCGGTTTTGGCAGCAAGGGCAGGGTGGGTGCGGCGAGCGGGTGCAAATCGGGAATTGGGGCAAATGTCTGGGGTCTGTTGAGCAGGTGGGACCTGCTGGGGAGGCTGGGGGTGCACGCTGGCCGGGGGGCAGGTGGGATCCTGCAGGGTTCTGGGGGTGCTGGAGCGGGGAGCTCAGCCTGAGCCACTCCTGCTCCCCCACAGAGATCCGGGAAGCCTTCAAGGTGTTCGACCGCGATGGCAACGGCTTCATCTCCAAGCAGGAGCTGGGCACGGCCATGCGCTCCCTGGGGTACATGCCCAACGAGGTGGAGCTGGAGGTCATCATCCAGCGCCTCGACATGGACGGTAGGACCCCCGCAACCCGGGATGGGACCCCCAGCTGGGTGAAACACAAAATTCTGCTGTATTTCCACCCCACATGCTGGACACTACACGGGATGTGGGATGAGCTGACCCAGGCTCTGCCTCCCCCTGGAGCCTCCTCCTCATCCATCATCGTGATCGTCATTGTCACTGCAGCTTTTTTGGGGTGATTTAAGGATGCTGGGTGTTTGTGGGGTCGCTAAACCTGCTGGGATGAGGCTGGATCCCGCACCCGGGGTGGATCCTGCACCCTGGGTCGTGTCCTCAGCACCCATCACCCACCACCCTGCAGCATTCACTGCCACCGTGACCCTGTCCCCAGCCCTCCCTCGCCCACAGGGACCTGAGAGAGCTCCTTAATTTATTGCTTTTCCTTTTTTCCCCCATTTAAAAGCCTTTCCGGCAGTGCTGCCAAGGCGCCGCTCCCTTCATTACTCATCGTTAGTGCTGCCCTGACAGCCCCACAGCAGTGTCCCCCTGCCAGGGACACAGCCAGCATGGCCACCAAGCACCCCAGGGCCACAGCCACCACTGGGGTCACAGCCACCAGCGGGGTCCCTGCTGGAAGTGGGGTCCCAGCTGGAATTCAGTCCTGGACAGTGCTGGGCTTCCCCAGCCAGTACTGGGGCTCCAGGTGACACTGAGTGTCCCCAGGTCCTATTGGAAGGGGGCCCAGATGGCATTGGGGGTCCCCAGATGTTGCTTGGGGTCCCCAGAAAACACTGGGGGTCCCTACCTGGCAGTGAGAGTCCCAGGAGCACTGGGGACCCCAGCCAGTGTTGCCATCCCAGCTGGTGTTGGGGACACCAAACTTTGCTGGAGGTCTCCACACAGTGTTGGAGTCCCTGGTTGGTTTTGGGCATCCTTAGCCAACATTTGTGGTCCCCAGTTAGCCCTGGGAGGCCTCCAGATGGCATTGAGGTCCCAGCTGCAACTGGGGTCCAGCTCAAGTTCATGTCCTGGATGAAGTTTGGTTTCCCCAGGCAGCACTGGGGTCCCAGATCACATTTTGGGGAGACTAGATGGTATTAGGGTGTCCCCAGCCCTGGGGTCCTGGCTGGCTCTGGGGACACCCATCCAATGCTGGGCATCCTGGCCAAAGTTGGAAGTTCCCTAAATTTGCTGGAGGTTCTCAGATGGTCTTGAGATCCCCAAGTGGTTTTGGGGTTCTGTGACCCCCATGGAGCCCCGTCTGGGACGGGAGTGTCCCATGTGCCCCATGGCCAGGCAGGGGGTGACAGGCAGCCCTGTGTCCCGCAGGTGACGGGCAGGTGGACTTTGAGGAGTTTGTGACATTGCTGGGGCCCAAGCTCTCCACCTCGGGCATCCCGGAGAAGTTCCACGGCACCGACTTCGACACCGTCTTCTGGAAGGTAGGGACAGCCCTGTCCCCAAGGGAAGGCAGGGACACCCCTGTCCCCTCCTGGGCCATCACCTCAGAACCTGCACCAGGGAGGGCTCAGGGTCAGGGCCAAGGTTGGGGTTGGGATCAGGGATAGGATGAGGGTCAAGGCTGGAATTGGGGTTGGGCTGGGGGTGAAAGTCAGGCTCTGGGTCACGGATGAGGTTAGGTTTGGTTTAAGATTAGGATTAGGGTCAAGGTCGGGCTCCAGTTTAGGGTTAGTACAAACCTTGGGGTCAGGGTCAGGGTCAGCACGGGTTTAAGCATTGGGGTTAGGGCTAGGTTTAGGATCAGGGTTCAGGTAGGAGTCAGGGTTAGGATGAGGGTTGGGATCAGGTTTAATGGTGGGGCCAACGTCAGGATTGGGGTCAGAAACAGGTTCAGGGTCAGGATTGAGGTCAAGGTCAGGACTGGGGTGAGGGTCAGGATCAGGATGAGGTTCAGATCAGTGTCAGGGTGCACCCCCTGAGGTCCTGTGCCCCTGTCATGAGCAGGCCACATTCGGTGCCAGCACCCTCTGTGTGCCCCTTGCTCTGCTGGGGGTCACCAGGCCTTTCCCAGAGAATTCCAGGATGATCCACCCAAACCACCACATGCAAAGGTTCTGGGGGACCCCCTGTGCTGCTGGCCGTGGGGTCACCCCGAGTGCCCTGGTCCCCGCAGTGTGACATGCAGAAGCTGACGGTGGACGAGCTGAAGCGGCTGCTGTACGACACCTTCTGCGAGCACCTGTCCATGAAGGACATCGAGAACATCATCATGACGGAGGAGGAGAGCCACATGGGCACGGCCGAGGAGTGCCCCGTCGACGTGGAGAGTGAGTGCCGGGCACCGGGAATGCCAAAAGCCGCGGGGATCCCAACCCCCACGGGGATAGCACGGGTTAACCCTTAGTACCAGGAGAGTGTATTTGGGATTGGGGTAACGCTGTTTGTCCCACCCCCAGCCTGCTCCAGCCAGCAGATCCGCCAGACCTGCGTGCGGAAGAGCCTCATCTGCGCCTTCGCCATCGCCTTCATCATCAGCGTGATGCTCATCGCCGCCAACCAGGTGCTGCGCAGCGGGATGAAGTAACGGGGCGCCGCCGGGACCCGCAGCGACGGCGAGGAGGAGGCACCTATAAATATCTATAAATATCTCTATGTACATCCATCTGTGGCCCAGAGACGTGACCCCCCGGGCGGGGGGCGGCGAGGGGACAGAGCCACGCCGGGGCCGCGCCGTGCCGGGCGCTGCCGCGCTGCTGCTGGCCGAGCGCGGAGACTTTGGGACCGACACACCGACACACCGAGCCCCTCGCCAGACACAATCCGACCCGTGAGTGCATGTGACGTGCATGGAGCCCCGTGAGCCCCCTCCCGCGGCGGATCCCAAGGATTCTCCGATCTAGCGTTAGAGCTCATATTTAGGATAAACCAAATCATCCCCTAAGCAATACACGCGCCTGAGATGGTTCCTAGAGCCGGGAGCGTTTGCATGGACTTGGCTGCCAAGGGCTGGATTCCACCCCCCAGAGCCCCTCCCTGTCCCCGTGCCGTGCCTCGGTTTCCCCACCTGCCCGGTGCGGGGACATTCCTGACCTCCTGCTTGATGCACTTTGAGCCGACCCCCCCTCGGGAAGAGCCGGAGCGACCCCGAGGCCGGGGAGCCCCGCACGCCCCAGAACCCCCCAGCCTGTATGTAGCACCCACCTGGGCACGGACTGGTTCGAATTTGGGGCCGTTCCTCATTCTTTGGGGTTTTTGGGGTGGTGATTTTGTTTTTTGTTTCTGTTTTTGGTTTTGTTGGTTTTTTTTTTGTTCTTCCTGGTTGGTTGTTTCCGATCTGAAATAAAACTGGGATTTCTGAAGTGCTCTGGGCTGTGGGGGCTCCTGGAGATGCTGGGGTGGAAGGTGATGGGGTGGGGCCCTGGGAGCACCTGTGGGTGCTGCTGAGCCCTCCTGGTACGGGAGGTGGGCACTGATTTGGGCAGCTGTGACCCCCAGACTCTGGGGGCTGGAGCATCCCTAAACTTTGAGGCAGTGGGACCTGGCTCCTTCCCAGCAGCTCCCACGTCCCTCACCCCACTCCAGCCGTGGATCCTGCTATAGGTCCTGCCTCTTCCCACGGATCCCAGTGGTTTTATCCCCCTCTCCGCGTCTCGTACCCTGATATTTCATGTTTGGTTTGATGAATGTTTCACTCCCCTTTGCCTCGACGGGGAGGGTGCTCAGCCCAAGCCCCTTCCCAGAAGTGCTTTCACTGGATTAACAGTAATTCCAGCAGGAACCAGGATCTGTTTAGGGCGCTCAGAGAGGCTCCACAGGGTCAATTCCTGGGCCAAGCTGGGGATCCTGCCCCAAGGCTGGTGGCGGGGAGCACCCCGTTACTCCTGACTGCCACCACTGGGGCCTGGCCCCGGTGTGACCCCCCAGGCTGAGGGACATGGGGAATCTCACAGCCTCACAAATGTGTGCTGTGGGAGCCCATTCCCACCTAATGCATCGCCCTCCCCGAGCCCCCAGCCATGCATTTTTAATGGCAAAGAGATTAAAGGGATAAATATAAACAGGGGAAGTGCTTGGGGCTGGGAGAGAATCGGGCAAAGCTGCTGCTCTCCCATCACAGAGCACTTCCCACTGGGAACGGGGCTGGAGGAGCCCATCCCAGGACATCCCCACCTTCACCTCCCTGCTGCTCCCATGGGAAACTCATTTCCTTGCACCAGCATGGGAATTCCCACCTTGCAGCACCACGGCAGGGACACCCCATTTTTGGGATGCCAGGAGGAACTGGTGGTGTTTTATTGATTTGGGGTTTGGGTGGGGCCTTTTTTTGATCTTCTCTAATTTATCAAACAAATTGAAGCAAACGTCCAAATGAGAAATGGAAATGGGAAGTGCTCCACGGCAATGAAATCACTCTGGCTGCCTCGCAAAGTGCGGGAGGCTCCGCATCTGTAATGAAATTTCATCCATCTCCCGCAGAAAGTTTGGATTTTTTATGGACTGGCATTTCCAAAGGAGCCACGTGGCCCCGGAGACATGTGTGCATATATATATATATATATATATATATATACATATATATTTTTAAATTATTTTAAACCAGGTCTATTATACACACTGTGAATAAACATAAGAAGAAGAAGAAAAAAAGGACGATTTAATTTGCCAGAAAATACAATAATGTAAAAGAAAAAAATAGATAAAAGGAATAACGCCATCCCCCAAGCTCAGCGTTTCAAAGCTGCTCAATTAATTTTAATGGGAATCGGCAGAACGGATTTCTTGGGGCAGGTGTGGAATGGCAGCTCCCGATCCCGGAGCAGGCGGGACGCCGGAGCGGGGTCCCTGCTCTGCCGCAGAGGCCACGGATCACTGCGGCTGCTGCAACAGAGATGCTCCGGGATAATTCAATTAAGGGACCGTCAGGAAAGGCAAAAACAAAGGGAATGTGCCGGGAGGTGGGGCCTGCCGCGGGCGAGGGGAGTGGGAGGGAGCAGGACCCTGCGCGGGTTCCCTGGACGTGGGGGCAACGGAGTAAAAGCGGCAGCAACCCCAGTGGGGGTTGCAGGGCTGCATTTCCATAGCTCTGGGAAGTGTTTGGGATAGGAAGGGAAGAAGTTGGTAATGGTTGTTTCTCTCTTGTGCTGCAAGAAGTGTGGGATGGGCTCAGCTCCACCTCTGTCTTGGTCCCATTCCCATCCCTGTCCTTGTCCCAGTCTCCGTCTCCATCCCCAACACCATCCTCAGGCCCACTCCCATCCTCATTTCCATTCCTCACTCTGTTCATTTCCCCTCTTCCCATCCCCACTGCTGTCCCATCCTCATCCCATCTCTTCCTCATCCCTGTCCCATCTCATCCCTGACTGCTCTCCATCCCCATTCCCATTCTTATTTCCATCCCTGCCCTCTCCCCTCCCCCAATCCCCATCCTTGACCCTATCTCTACCCCCATTCCAAACCTTTTGTCCATGCCTCTCTCTGTCCTGTCCTCACCCCAGTCCACGTGCTGTCCCCATTCCCACTCCTGTTCCTGTCCCCCTCTCCCAGCAAGAGCTGCCAGAGGACACGGGCAGAGCCCAGCGGGGCTGCGCTTGGCAGGGGCCCAGCAGCCGCTCATTTCCCTAAAAGCTTCCCGATAAATTACTCCAGCTCTTGCTCCAGCAAAGGCACTTTGGCTTGGGCTTCACTACTGGGCAGCAGCTCCTCACCCCCACCCCGGGGACAGTGAGTCCATTCCTGCAATCTCTTAGGACTGGGTACAAGCCATCCCTGTGGGAAGGAGCCACAGCCCTGTCCTGTTTTGGAGTCCTCCTCCCACAGGCTTTCCCATGGATGAGCCCACAGCAGCTGTGTCCCACCCCGGTGACACATGGCATTGTCACCTCTGTACACTGCTGTAAACCCTGCAATTCCCAGCCTACTCCCCCCAGGAGTTACACAGCTCCATGAATCCACAACATCCTGCAGGTGATGCCGGGCTCGGCCCCGTTGGCCACACATCCTGCAGTTTTTGTGGGAAAACCCCAACTGTAATAAATCCCCCTTGGCTGCCCCTCTCACGTCCCCCTGGAAGGCTGGAGCTCAGCAGGGAATGCTCCTGCTCTTGCCTTTCAGCCTTTATTGGGAATTTCTGCTTCCAGGGCAGCTCAACTCCTTGGGAGCAAGGAAGAGCACAGAAAGGCTGTGGCTGTTGTTTTACCACTGGAATTTCTATTTACAGTTGGGTTCCAGAGCTTGCCCAGAGAACTCTATCTAAGAGTTCTATTTAAGATGGACTTGGTGAGCCCTGAAGTTTGGAAGTGTTGGATTAAACAGCCTCTCCTGGAACAGCTGGAAAACACACCAGGACCAGAGCACACGGAGCAGGGACAGGCCTGGGGGCTGATCAAAGCACAGCTCAATCACTGCAAGGAACAGGGAAGGATTTGGATGTTGACTGGGGAAAAAATCCATGGAAGGGACTGGAGAGGGAGTTCCTTCATCTGTTGGTGCTGGTGGCCTCCGAAGGTGTCCAGGAGCATGTCCTGGCTGCCACCAGCAGACCAGCCACTGTCCCCCCCAATCAGTGAAGCCTCTCAACATTCCCCAGGACTCTTCCTCTGTGCCAGGCTGGGACACAAGGATGCACATCCAAACTTGGAGAGCAGGCCCAGATCCCACTCTGGAGCACCCCACAGTCCCTGGGGAGTCCCAATTACCCATTTCCTTGGGGGCAGGGTTCCCTTGCTCCCACCCATTCCCAAAGAGGAGCCACCTGGGTGCCCTCATTAATCCGCCTGTCCTGCAGGTGGAAGTGAGGACAGGACATGGGGCTGATCCTGCATCCTCTGAGCCCAAGCCCTGTGCTCCTGCTTTCCAGCAAGCCCAGGCTCCTGCCTGGAAGGATAAAAACATTCTCTAGTTGGACCTAGAACTCACCCAGGCTGCAGCCAAGGCTGCTGTCACATGCAGTCCCTGCTCCTGTCAGAGCCAGGTCCCAGGACGCTCCTGTGACAATTTGCCATCACATCCTCAGATGGCAGCCCTGCCCTGCTGGAGCAATCCAGGCAGGATTTGGCCACAGGCAGCTGGCTCCTGCCTGTGCTCTTCATGAATCTGGACCCATCACCTCCCTGCCCAGCCAAACCTGGAATGCTCTGGCAGTGGGCACAGCCCTCCTGGATAAACCCACTGCCAGAGCTGCCTCCCGGGATGCTGCTGGACAGGATCCCCCCTTGGAGCTGCAGCACCCTGCTCCCTTCCTGAGACAGCCAAGGGCCTCCCTCAGCCCATGTTTTACCAGCAAGGAGAGATGAATCAAACTCTCACTGTGGAGAAACCTCGGGATATTTCCCCTCCTTGCCCTTCGCCTCCAGCACAGCAGGAGCAGGGCTGAGGGAAGCTCCCCAGGCTCTCCACTGGGAGCTCCAGCACCTGGAGCCAGGCAGGGTCACACCCTGAATTTATCAGGAACAAACACGGCACCAACACCCGAGGAAATGAAACATCAGTTCTGAAAGCCTGGGTCCTTCTCCAGCCTGGATCACAGAGCCCAGCACGGAGCTGGAGTGAGAGCAGGCAGAGCAGGCTGCAGTGATCTGAGGGGATGGATCCCACCCAGGAAATGGGGAATGTCAGCTCCAGGTGACAACAGAGCCCCTGTGCAGGGCTGGAGCTGTGCTGAGCACAGATCCCTGCTCCAGAGGCAGGGACAGAGCCAGGGGAGGGCTCAGCCCACCCAGGCTGCTGGGCCAGCAGGAACACCACACAGAGGCTGCAACGGGCAGGAGGAGGGTTTATTGAAATAAAAGTGTGTATAAATAATCTTGTCCCTTTCCCAGAGCAGAGGCAGCCAGCCCCAGCCAGGTTCTGGGGGTGCCTCAGCCCCACTGCAGGTTGGGGGGCACTGGCCACCCCCCGGGTGGGGGGGGCTGCAGGGATGGGGGCAGCTCCTGCACTGGTGGCCAGCCCAGAGGGTACTGGAATGGTGCTGGTTTCTCAAGAAGAGCACTGTGAGGGGAGATGGAAAGGGATGAGGTGAGAAGCCAATGCCATGCTGGGAGCTGGGATTCCCTGTGCCCCCTCCAGTAGCCCCCAAAGAGACAGGGCCAGCAGAGGAGGGTTTTGGTTATCACCAAATGGGTTCATTCACCCCCCCTCCCCATCCCAAATCCAGCACCAGAACAGTTGTGTGACCCTTTCCATCATATCCAAGCAGCCCAACACAGTCTGTGCCTGTGAAAACTCCAGTGGGAACACTGAGGTGAGGGGGTCTGGGCGGGGGAGAGCAGCACAGCCCCTGAGAGGGGCTCAGCAGGCACAGCTGCCAGGTGCTGGAGCAGGGCTGCTCCCAGCCCCTCCATCCCCACTCCTCACACAGCTGA